GGGGTATCTGGCTAGGTTCCATATCTTAGCTATAGTAAATAATGCTGCAATAAACATAGTTGTGCTGGTAGCTTTATTACGGTCTTGTTTGTAAGTATTTGGGTAAATGCCCAACAGTGGGATTGCTGGGTCATAGGGGAGCTCTATGTGGAGCCTTTTGAGGAACCTCCATACTGCTTTCCAAAGTGGTAGAACAAGTTTACACTCCCACCAGCAATGCAGTAAGGTTCCCTTCTGTCCACATCCCTTCCAGCATCTGTTGTTATTAGAGTTCTTGATTTTAGCCATTCTAACTGGAGTGAGGTGATATCTCAATGTTGTTTTGATTTGCATTTCTTTTAGGGCGAGAGAGGTTGAGCATGTGTTCATGTGTCTATTGGCCATCCTTCTTTGCTCTTCAAAGAAGTTTCTTTTTGAGTCTTTAGCCCACTTGTTTCTTGGGCAGTTGTTTCTTTAAAGATTTGTTGTTGGGAGATTTAATTTTTTGAGTTCAAGGTATATTTTAGATATGAGACCCTTGTCTGTTGTGTGGCTAGTGTTGATCTTCTCCCAATCCTTGAGCTTTCTATTGATCTTTCTAGCTGTGTCCTTTGCCATGCAGAAGCTCTGCAATTTCATGCAATCCCATTTGTCCAACCTTTCTTTGTTTTGTTGTGTTTCTGGGTCTCTACTAAAAAAGTTTTGGCATGTGCCGAGGAGACCTAGGGTTTCTCCTATTCCATCCTGTAATGTTTTCAGAGTGTCTGCTTTGACTCCGAGGTCGTTGATTCATTTGGAGTTGATTCTGGTGCACGATGATAGATAAGGATCTAGCTTTAATTTTCTACAAGTAGTTAACCAATTTTGCCAGCACCATTTACTGAAGAGGCTGTCTTTCTTCCATTCTATTTTTTTAGCTCCCTTATCGAAGATTAGATGGCTATAGGTTTATAGGTTCATTTCTGGGTTTTCAGTTCTATTCCATTGGTCCTGAGGTCTGTTCTTGTGCCAGTACCAAGCTGTTTTGATTACTATGGCTTTATAGTAGAGTTTGAAATTTGGTATTGATATTCCTCCTGCAGTTTTCTTTCTGTTAAGGATAATTTTTACTATTCGGGGTCTTTTATGTTCCATATGAATTTTTGGATTGCCTCTTCTATTTCCTTGAAGAATGAGGTTGAAATTTTGATAGGACCACATTGAATTTGTAGATAGCCTTGGGAAGTATTGCCATTTTCATGATGTTGATCTTTCTAATCCAGGGGCATGAGAGTTTTTGCCACTTTCTAAGTTCTGTTTTGATTTCCTTTTTCTAGTTTTTAATGTTTTCATCATAGAGGTCCTACACTTCTTTGTTTAAGTTAATTCCTAGGTATTTTATTTTTTGTGGGGCTATTATGAATGGAGTTGCTTTCTTATTTCAGCCACACTTTTCTCATTATTGGCACACAGAAAAGCCATTGATTTTTTGAGGGTTAATTTTATACCCTGCTACTTTGCCAAAGTTGTTAATCAGCTTGAGTAATTTGGGAATGGAGTCTATGGGATTCTTTAAATACAAGATCATGTCATATGCAAAGAGGGAGAGTTTTCTTCTTTTTTCCCTATTTGGATCCCCTTTATGTCTGCATCTTGTCTTATTGCTGTAGCTAGGCATTCTAATACTAGATTGAAGAGAAAGTGGACATCCTTGTCTTGTTTCTGAGTTAAGAGGAAATGGCTTTTGTTTTTCATCATTAAGTATAATGCTGGCTGTAAGTTTGTCATATACAACCTTTATTGTATTGAAGAATGTTCCACGGATTCCTAATTTTTCCAGAACCTTCATCATAAAGGAGTGTTGGATCTTGTCAAATGCTTTTTCTGCATGGTCCCTTAATCTTAAGATATGTAGATGGATGAATACCTCTCTATTTACTGTGAGCTTCCAAAACCTCATTTTTTACTAATCTATTTTACTCCATTTTCCCCTAAATGATTTCATTCCCTTAACATTAAGGGAAGTAGATGGACAAGCTTTAAGCTTGAGTTTTTTAATTCCTGGCATGCATTAACCAGGCCTCATTTTCCTTAGTCTGTCCGGCCTGAGTACAGCATCCTCAGTCCACTGCAATCAAGACCAATACAGTGCTAGGTGAGCACTAAGATTGCCTCAGGTTGAATGTGGTAGAGGTGCATTCATGGGCCAAGATGGCCACAACCATACACAATTAGTGATAGCTAGAATAGAATTCAGACTGTCTGGTGGTAGATGACTCACAGGTACTGAGATGATTATAGGGCTCTGCCAGAGGCTGTCCTGGCTATGGGGTGATGGCAAAGTTCTAGTGCTATCATATGGCCCACACTAAGCTATGGGACAAGATCACCATCTTAATTCCCTGTATCCAACCCATGGGAAGTAGAATGGAGAACCATGCTGTGTCACAGCAGCTTGGTAAATTTTGTAAAGGAAGACACAGCTAGGCACCGGTGGCTGATGAGTGTAACCCTAGCTACTTAGGAAGCTGAGGTCTGAGTACCAGGGTTCAAAGCCATCCCAGGCAGGAAAATCCATGAGACTTTTATCTCCAAATAAACATCAGAAAACCAAAAGTGGCATTGTGGCTCAAGTGGTAGAGCACTAGCCTTGAACTGAAAAATTCAGGGACAGATCCATGGCCTAGAGTTCAAGCACTAAAACTGACAAAATAAATAAAAAGAGGCCACAGGGCCATCTTGGTGAACACTGCCATACACTCAGGCTCAATCTCCCATCCAGAAAGCCAAACTGTCAGGTGGCCCACACTCCAGCTAATGCTGATATAGACCAGTGCACATTAGTTTCCTAGAGCAACCTACATTTCTGCTTGGTTCCGTGTTGAGCACTATCTTTCTAGGGCAATGGTCTCTGAGATTCTTCACTGTGCACAAGACTGGGACTGAGCCAGATTTCAACAGAGTCACATAGCAACAGTGGCTTCGCAAGGCTAAGCAAGAAGATAGGTGTCAGCCTACTTCAACCATGGTGGAAACTGATGGAAATGGCATTTGGTTCTGCCTCAGCGACCTTCCAACATCTCCTGAAAGATTCTAGCAGATGCTTGGGTGCTAGCATCAAACAGTGCTTTTAGTTTATTCTGGATTATTAATCCAATCATGACATGCCTGACACACGGTTCTAAGAAAAAACTCTGACCCACTCTGCCCTGATCACTAGGAGATTGTTTCCCATACCTGCTGTCATTGACAAGATTGGAGGAGGGAGGTTGTGGGAGTGTCTTCCTTCTCTGTCTTAAACCAGTTCCATAGGAGCAATCTAAATGTCTGGACACAAGAGTAGAGACTATAACCACTTCCCCAGCACTGGTTCTAAGATACAGGGATGAGATTTAACTTTAATTCTCTCCCTCCCGGCAATGTTGAAGGATTTCTGTCCATAATGAGATAGTAATGCTGTTGACTGGGAGGAACATGGAGGCAGCTTCTTTCTTCCTTTTCTCACAAATCTTTTTCTGTTGTTTTGTTCCACTAAAGAAGTACCCTCCGGTCCACACCCCATGACTCTAATCTCTTCTTTGTTGGGTGAGGCAAGCTTCAGGTTCTCTCTCCCTCAGTTGCCATCTTGCACTGCTTCTGGGGAATCCCCTTGAATGATGGCATTCTCTAAGTCAGCTTAGTGTGCCTCTACCACATGACATGAAATGAAATTCTTTGTTTTCTTTAATTTCCTCACAAGGTAAGATTCACTTCTTTGCAGAAGGGTGCACCATCGGCAAAGTCTGGCAAGAGAGCGCAGAGACAAGGCAGCCTGTTTGCTATTTACTCCTGAGACAGCAGGCACTGCCTCTCTGCTCATATTGGTGGAACTCAGGTGGACAATCTGCTCCCAATTTGAATTGTATTTCTTAAGAATTTTTTCATATGCGCAGCTAATTCAAGGTACTTAATGATTTGGGGTGTGAGCTGGGCATGCCCCTGTGTTCCAACAGACAGTAGTGTTTTTCACATAGACATATGTGCAAGAGAGGAAAAGCCACCTTGCTCATCCCCCCCTCCTCTCTAGAATCTCAGAAGAACAGTCACCTCATGCATGCTGATCAAGTCCTCTTTAGGAGCTCTCTCAATTCTACTCCAAATTAGAATGCCAACCTGTTGGAAAATAGGATCTACACATAATACTGTGGGTAGAGATAAGCATTTGATTTTAAAAAGTCATGAGATTTGCAGTTAATCATTTGTGATAAGCATATACCTACCCAAAATTTGTGACCTTTGTGCAGGATCAACTTAAAGAAATACCAATTGCTTCTCACCCTGCTGCTGGCTGTGGAGGAGATCAACAAGAATCCCCATTTGCTACCCAACATGACTCTGGGGTTTGAGATCTATACAGCACATTACTCAGGTACTGATCTGTTAGAGGATCCTCTCACCTGGCTGTCTAGGAAAAATAAAAACAGCCCCAATTACACCTGCAGAAGAGACAGCAAAGCTTTAGAAGTACTCACAAGAACTTCAAGCACATCTGTTCCAATCGGGACACTGCTGGACCTCTACCAACTTCCACAGGTGAGGCTGGGAGCGGTGGGCAGATGTGAAGCTATGTCCACATGGACTCTGTCCTGGACAGGCTGAAGAGGTATTATCATGAACCCTTCCAAATGCATAATCTCACAGGGAAAAGACTCCAAAAGTGGGTGGAACAGACACATTTTCTTTGCTCTAAATAAAAGGACAGGTTTTAAGAGAGGAAAGGATGACCCAAAGCTCTGAGCCTTAACGATACATGTATGCAAAGTGCTTGGAACATGGGAGATGACTTTGCAAATGGGATAAGCAAACTTTTGCTCCCACCCTTCCCAGTTTTTGTTTAGCTTACATCAGGACAGAGACTTGCCTATTACCATCCTCTTCCTGGTGTTGTGTTCATTTTTTCCCTGTAGTTCACTTTTGGGACTTTTGATCCTCTCCTGAGTGACCATGGAAAGTTTGGGACTGTCTATCAGATGGCTGCCAAGGACTGAGGTCTAGCCCTGGCCATGGTCTCTTTGATGCTTCATTTCGGCTGGACCTGGGTGGGACTGTTCAACACTGAAGACAACTATGGTGTGTGGTTCCTCTCAGAATTGAGAGAAGAGATGGGCAAGAGTAGAGTCTGTTTTGCCTTTGAGAACATGATCCCTTACAATGCCTTTACAGATTACTCATATGATCTATCGAAGTATCGCCAGCTAATGGACTCATCAACCAATGTGATTATCATTTATGGGGACAGTAAATTTCTATTAAGCTTTATTGTTAAATTTGGGCACATTTTAATTACAAGGAAAGTGTGGGTCATGAACTCACCCTATGATGATGTCACCATTGGTAAAAGATACTGTCTGATCCACTCCTTCCATGCATCTCTCACCTTCTCTCATCATCATAGAAACACTTCTCTGTTCACCAATTTTATTCTGAAAGGTACCTTGTAAAATAACTTAGTAAATAATTCCCTTCCTTGGTCATGGATTCAGTCTGTTTATAGCCTACTGATTAAGTCTGACTGCAGAGACTTGGGGCACTGTTCATACAATGCCACACTCCATTGGTTGCTGAGGCATATTTTTGACATGACTATGTCAGAAGAGAGTTACAACATCTATAATGCTGTGTATGCCTTGGCCCACGCCCTCCACCAGATGTTTCTTCATCACATGGAAGAGCCACCAGGGTACAAAGGTCAACCAAAGACATTTCTCTCTTCACAGGTAATGGCTTTGGTTTTGGGTGACCTACTCTAGGCATATAGACTTTCTATAGATTTCATAGCAGATGGAACTAGGTCATCTGGCTCCATTTCGGAAAATACAAGAAACATTGGGCCTGTCATGCTCTACATGAGTGAATGTAGAGCTGTGAAGACAATGTTCTTGAAGAATGCTGCATCAATGAAAAGGAAGTGCTGTGTCTTCTGTCCCCATCCTCACTATGTGTGGAAAAAGCCGTCCCCTTTTCAATATATCCAAATTGTCCTTGTAACTTTTTAAAATAACAGATCAAGGTAAAAATTCTTGAAAACCTAATATTGTCTGGACACAAGTGGCTCACACCTGTGGCTTACTCCTGAATGTAGTTAACATCAAAAGCCAGAAGTGGAGCTGTGGCTCAATGGATAGAATGCATACTTTGAAAAGAAATTAAAACCACCTCGATTTGAGTGCCTAAGCCCTGAGTTTGTGTCACAGGACAGACACACACACACACATACACGCACACACACACACACACACACACACACACACACACACACCCTACAATGAACTAAGTCTTGCTTAAAGTAGTCTTTTATAATTATCATAAATATTTTACTATCCTACTTAGTTTATTATTCCCCTTATTTCAGACTGACTCTCTGATCACAATCATAAAATAAGTGATTGGAATGCAATTGAGAGTCTTTGAGGTCTGTCATATGATAATTCATTATTTTGTTAGATGTAGCTGGAGTTGCATTCCCTTGAAATTGAGTTTCTGCATCCCATCCTGGATACCCAGGTTTTAGAACTTGGTAACACTTTAGTCTGCTGTGGGCCTGCATTTGATACAGTTGGTTGGATTCCTGTGGTGTGTGAATCAGGGAATGGGAATGAAGAGTAATCCATTGTTCTGGGGTTCTGTGATAACACTGGGAAGCACTTCACCATACTGTAATGTGTCTCTTTTAGCTGCATCCCTTTTTGAAGAAGATCCAGTTTACCAATCCTGTTGGAGACCAAGTGGTTTTGAATGAGGAAAGGAAATTGGAGGCAGAGTATGACATTAAGAGCTTTTGGAATTTTCCAGAAGGTCTGGGACAAAGGGTGAAAGTTGGCGAGTTTTCTCCATATAGGCCACATGGTCAACAACTGGTTTTGTTTGAAAATCTGATAGAGTGGCCCATAGGAATTACCAAGGTGGGTCATTTCTGCTTTTTTTACTCTCTCCTTTTAAAAAAAAAGGATTGTTATTAGGAAGTAGTTGTAGAAAGAGCTTACAATTTCCTTAGTCAGGTTACAATCACAATGCTTGTAGACAGTGTCACCACATCCTATTTCTCCCCCAGAGTTGGTTGTTTCTAAGCATAATGTCATAATCTATGTATAAATTAGCAATAAGCTTACCCTTTTTTTAAAGCTTGTTCAATAAAACTATGGTTCAGTCGTGTACATTTCACCAATTCCTGTTTCTGGAAGTTTCTTACTAACAGATTCATGTAGGGAATAGGGGAACATTTCATTATCAATATGTTGTTCTGTGTTTGCATATTGAATATCATAAAAGCTAAATGCCACCTGTGAATCATCTTCCCAACACTGTGACCAAATACCTGAGGGAATCAAATGAGAAGGCAGAAGGGTTTACTTTGCTTCTGCCTGGAGATTTCAGACCATGCTTGGGTAGATTGTTGCTTTTGGATCTGTGTTGAGACAGGTTGTAATGAAAGGAGCATCTGCCAGTGAAGTTTCCCCACCTCATGGCAGCTGGGAAGTCAAGAGAGTGAGATGTGAATAACCCTGGGTACAGCAGCACGTTCAAAGCACTTAGCCATGCTTTAGAGTGTGGTTTTAAAGTTTTTTAAAGTGATGTTCTTCTCATGAGAGAAAACACATCTTAACCTGATACAAGAATGGGATGCAGGGTTAAGTCCCATTTCCTAATTTCCTAGAATTAACATCCACCCTTCAAGGCTCCATGACTTCCTGATAGCATGAGGGGCTGGATGTCGAGGCCCCATGTATTCTTCAGGTCATGTTACATGAAACTGTAAGAAGGCTCAATCAATTCATTGGTTGTATGTATTTAAAGATTTTGTGTTTTGATTATCTTTTCCCTTAAAGTACTGGAGTGTCTGGGATGTCAGGTAAAAGGATGAATAGTCACTACCCTTCATCTGAATCCTCCCAGACTCCTCAGTCTGTCTGCACTGAGAACTGTGGTCCTGGATTCAGGAAGGCCTCTCTGGAGGGAAATGCTACCTGTTGTTTTGACTGCATTCTTTGCCCAGAGAATGAGATTTCTAATGTGACAGGTTAGTCTGTGACTTATAGAGAAATTCCCCATCTCTCCTTCTTAACTTTCAGTCCATCCAAACCAGTGGAGTGATATACAGTAAAACAGCAGGAACACACATGCACCTTCACCCAAAGTTCTATGACTACCGTTAACCATACTTCTCCTTAGAAGAAACAACCCACTGCCCCTCCATTACAAGACCCTGTTCCCCTCTCCTCAGTCACATGTTTTCTTTTATTTAAAGAAAGTATATAAAAAGAAAATATCAAGGATTAGTTGTTGACATTTGAAATGACGTGCAAATCTAAATGGAATTTTGGATGTAACACAGACTTTCATTTGTGAATGCTCATTGCCACACTTTCCTAATTAAATGTTATTTTCTATTTAGCACACCTAATAATACATGGGGCTTTGGGGCTTTTTTGGTGTTTTTTTGTTGTTGTTATGATCACTCCATATCTGACACTGGCACTAGGTTGACTAGCAATTACTCAATTATCATTGATTCAGAAGTAGTTCACCATCTCCATTTCGTGTCTCTTCTCCCTCCTCAAGCTGAGCTTTCTGAGATCCTCTCATATCAGTGGAGGAGCATTGTTCTGTATTTTAATACATTTTTAGTATTAAAATCCTGTACAGAGTGGTTACATTTGCATCGGTAAGGAAATGAGTACATTTCTTATTGAGTATTGTTGCCTCCTCCTTTGTTTTTCTCTTACCATCCCTTCCTTCCAACCTCCCCAACTCCTCCTCCCATAGATCAAATGCTCAGGAAGTTTATATTTGGGGTAAGTAGTAGGTTGAGTTTAGGATTATACCTTCTTTCTAAATTGAAGTGCTTGGGCTGATTCTATATTTTCCATTATTTCTTGAATGAGTAGCAGAGAGCCAGAGTGGTATGACCTGTCAAGAATGTAGCAGGATGGCTAGGTAATTATATATTACACCTGTAATCCAAGTGACTCAGACAATTGAGATTTGAGGATGGAGCTTTGATGCAATGATGAGCAGGAAACTCCGTAAAAATCTTTTCCACAATTAAGCACCAAAGAAGCTGGAATTCGAGCTGTGACTCAAGCGGTAGGGTGGTAGTTTTGAGAATGAATACTCAGGAAAAATTCCTAGGGGCAGAGTTCAAGCACTGGATGAAAGACACAGACAGACAGAAAAAGAAAGAAAGAAAGAGAGAGAGAGAGATGAGGGGGGATCTGAGGGAGTGAGGCAGGGAAGGAAGGAAGGGAGATAAACAGAAAAAAGAGAAAGGGAAGAAGGAAAGAAGAAGAAAAATGTGAAAGAAAGAGAATTCACGTGAACATATTTTGATACAGAGAGTTATACTAGTTGTTATTGAGAGCAATACAGGTCAACTGGTGAATCAGGGAAAATGAGCAGCTTGAGTAGAGGAGGATGTGAGGAAAGAGAAATATGGAACCCAGTCTAATAGTGATTCTCACTCCTCACCAGACATGGAACAGTGTGTCAGGTGTGCAGATCATCAATTTGCCAACACCCAGAGAAACCACTACCTCAGGAAAACTGAGAGTTTCCTGGCTTATGAACACCCCTTGGGCCTGGCTCTGGTCTGCACGGCTCTCTGCTGCTCTGCACTAACAGCTGCAGTTCTTGGGGTGTTTATCAAGCACCAAGACACCCCTATTTTCAAAGCCAATAACCGGGCCCTCAGCTACATTCTGCTCATCTCCCTCACCTTCTGCTTCCTCTGCTCTTTGCTCTTCCTTGACCGTCCCAACACAGCCACCTGCATCCTGCAGCACACCACATTCGCAGTGGTCTTCACTGTGGCTGTCTCCACGGTCCTGGCCAAGACCATCACTGTGGTTCTGGCCTTCACACTCACTAATCCAGGGAGAAGAATAAGACCGTGGCTGGTGTCCGGGGCTCCTAACCTCATCATCCCCATCTGCACCCTCATCCAAGTGACTCTCTGTGGTCTCTGGCTGGTAATCTCTCCTCTTTTTGTGGACATAGATGCACACTCTGAATATGGCCATATCATCATCCTGTGCAACATGGGCTCCCTCACCACTTTCTACTCTTTCCTGGGATACCTGGGTGCCCTGGCCCTGGTCAGCTTCACTGTGGCTTTTCTGGTCAGGAACCTGCCTGACACCTTCAATGAGGCCAAGTTCCTGACCTTCAGCATGCTGATGTTCTGCAGTGTGTGGCTCACCTTCCTGCCTGTCTACCACAGCACCAAGGGGAAAGTCATGGTGGCCGTGGAGGTCTTCTCCATCTTGGCCTCCAGTGGAGGCCTCCTGAGCTGCATCTTTGCCCCCAAGTGTTACATCCTCTTGATAAGACCTGAGAAAAGTTCACTGCACAGGTTTAGGGAGAGACCAACTGAAAGAAATAAATCTAAAGTTGGACATAAATTTTGTCTAGAATGCTTGGAGGGTCTGAGACAAATCTATACAATTTCGGCAGTCAAAAACCATTTTAACTCATTCATTTTGCGGTTTGTGTTAGAGTTAGAGCAAGATTCCAACGAGACTGTCTCAATTTGTATTTCCTCCTGGATATCCTTTGCTTCATCCAATGTAATCTTCCTTTTAAGCTATCAATCGTCCTTTTTATTACAAATCTACTGTGATTCTTCTTTGCCCTATATGCATGCTATAACACTGCTTGAATATCATTATATTGCTCAGTTCACTGATATATGACCATTCATTTTGGTGAAAGTCTCTGTGCTTTGATTTCAGTTACTTGAATATATTTTCTGAGCTAGTTGTGTATTTCTGTTCAAATATTTACTGTTCTGCAATATTACTGAGTGTATTTTCCAAGGAAATACCTCTCCCTCACCCCCTCCGTATCTTTGTCTATCCCCCTCTCCTCCTCCATACCTCTGTCTCTGTCTCTGTCTCTGTCTCTCTTTCTCTCCCTCTCCTTTTTTCTCTCTCTCTCTCACATTCTCACTCTCTTTTACCTACTTCAGAAATTTAGATCAGGGTATTAAGCAGCACTAGTTTCCCATGGGAATCTCTATGAGTACTTTTTTCTGGCAAAAAATGCCAGGGCATCAACGTGACTTAAGATGAACCACTGTAGGAATAGTTTGATTATTGGTCATTATTCCTCACGAGAAGTTGAAGGTACCTATTGCATGATGGTCTGAGATGAGCCTTGTCACCTCAGTCTCTAAGGATCCTCAATATTAATAGATAGCGAAAAGGAAAGGATCCCCAAAGAGGGGGAAATACATTAGATCATGCTCAGACACAATATATGGTCATGTTCTTTAAATAGTACAAGAGAAGGAACAGTTCAAGCATTCAGAAGACTCCTTGAAGAAATCAGAATCTGTTGCCTGATGTTTGGAGTTGAGGCTCCTTCACTTGCCATTTATCTTGTGTTTCTATGGCTTGTTCTATCCCACTTGGAATTGGCAGCAGAGTAGTCAATGAAAAACCTAGATGATAGTTCTCAAAATGCTCTAGAAACACTACTGGCAATCATGTTGAATGAAAAGGACCCATTTAGTGACAGAGTGCAAGGGAAAGTCTATAAGGGAAAAAATGGGAATCCAGAGCGAAAGAAGTTAAAGAAGGCCAAGAAAGGCCAGATTCTCTAGTTGGAAAGGGACAGGTGATAATTGAGGAGGTCCTGAATTCTGCAGGGAGGTATAGCTCATCCCTGATGAGAAATAATGACCCCTACATGTGACTAACATCTGGCACAACTGAGTCGAGTCTTTCAAGGTTCTGTAGCCCCAAGAAGCAAGAGGGTTAAGAAGGTGAGTGGAATGTTTGTTATTTACTTTTTTACTAATTCTTAAAATGTATTTATTACTTTTTGTCAACTTAAAAAATGTGTATGGTTATTATAAAGGGGATATATGGGGGGTTACAGTTACATAAGTCAGGTAAAAATACATTTCTTTTTGGACAATGTCACCTCTTTCCTTGCTCTTTCCCAGATTCTCCCTCTTTTCCCACACACAAGTTATATAATTCCTTTGCCACAACTGCTGCATTTGCTCACTTTGTCCCTCCATTTCCTAATCAAATTGGAAAGGCCTCACCTCTTAATACTGTCATATTGGAGAAGACACATTCAAACCACAGCAAGGAAAAAGCTGGAGGAAAAGCTGTAGATCTTAAGAAAGAAAAGTTCATTTGGTAGAAAATCATTTTCTTTTTGAAATCAGGTGATAACAAAAATCAAAGCAATGCTTTAGAAAGACTGATTTAACACGGTAATGCTGAGGGGAGAATGAAATGAGAACAAACAGAAGAATTATTAAATTGAAGTAGAGATTTTGTATCTTTGCATATTTATCACAAACAATATGTGTTATATATGTAACAATATGACAGATTTTGCTAGTTTCCGGAATTTAAGTCTAAACTATAAACATACAAATAATTAACTAAAAATGGTACACTTAGGGGAGGATTCTGAGGATATAGACCCTTTGAATAACTACTGATCAGGTTGTTTGATATTTGGCTCAACTGAAAGGCTGAAGAGAAGGAGGTCATATTGAAGAAGAAAACTAGGGGACAGGTTGTGATTGGTCAAGTCCTATTGTAGGGTTTGGTCAAAATAATGGCGGCAGTCTGTAAATCCTTGAGGCATACTGTCTGGGTTATTTGCTGCGCCTGTAGAGTATTTGGGTCTTTCCTAGGTGAAAGCAAAGATGGGCCTTGAGGTGATGTGTAAGGGGATAATAAAGAAGGTGTCGTTTAAATCAAAAACTGAAAAGACTGGGGAGTTGGAGAAGATGTGGAACATAAGGGTACGATAAATGAGTACAGATGAGATGACTCTGATTATTTTTTCAGGGTCCTGAAGCAAGAGGTAGGAGCCATTAGGGTTTTTGTATTCCTAAAATGGGAGTTTGTGGGAGAGTGAATGGGAATGAGGAGAGAGGCAGAAAGAAGCTGAAGGATAATGGGTTTTAGCCCTCAGCAGATAGCAGGAAAGAAGAGATATTTATTTGGGGTTAAAAAGGGGATTTGAGAAGCTTTAAGGAAAATAAGAATTTGGTCATTGTGGGAGAGAATGGGGAGCATGTTTTTAAAATGTCCCAAACTAAGGGGATTTACTTCTAGAAGGGGACTTGGGAGAGCAGAGGATTGGGTTCATTTCACCTAACATCAACTTATCTTACCTTTTCTGCTTGTCTCAGACATTTACTAGTTATTGAAAATAAGGGAAACCATGGGACCTATGTTTCTTTGGGCCTCCCTTACTTCAATTAATATAATTTTTCCAAGTCTTTTCATTTCTTAAAAATCAGAGCAATGACATTCGTTCTAATGGAATTCTATGTGCATATATATACAAATATAGGCATATATGTGTATATACACACATATATAGACATATATAAATATATATATATATATATATATATATATATATATATATATATATACTACATTTTCTTGATCCATTCATCTACTGAGGGGCATCTGGGTTGGATCCATACCTTAGCTATGGTAAATAATGCTGCAATAAACATTGTTGTGCTATAGCTTTAGTATGGTTTTGTTTGTGATCATTCGGGTAAATACCCAAAAGTGGGATTGCTGGGTCATAGGGGAGCTCTATGTGGAGTCTTCTGAGGAACCTCCATACTACTTTCCAAAGTGATTGAACAAGTTTACACTCCCACCAATAATGCAGTAGTGTCCCCTTCTGTCCACATCCCCTCCAGCATCTGTTGTTATTAGAGTTCTTGATTATAGCCATTCTAACTAGGTGTGGTGGAAACTTAATGTTGTTTTCATTTGCATTTTATGACTAGGGAGGTTGAGCATTTCTTCATGTGTCTATTAGCCATCCTTCTTTCCTCTTCAGAGAAGTTTCTCTGTAAGACTCTAGCCCACTTATTTATTGGGCCATTGTTTCTTTGAGGATTTGTTGTTGGGGGCTTTAATGTTTTAAGTTCAGGTATATTTTAGGTCTGAGGCCTTTATCCATTGTATGGATAGTAAAGATCTTTCTGTATTACTCTTTGAATAGCTTCCTCATGTTCACAAAATCCCTGTAATTCTCTCACTGTTTTCAGCTTGCTCACACAATTCCTGTGTTTTTCTTTGACTGTTCTCAACCTACTTAGGCAATTTCTGTATTTCTCTTTGACTGTTCTCAGCCTGCTCAGGCAATTCTTGTATTTCTGTTTGACTGTTCTCAATCTGCTAACGCAATTCCTGTACTAATCTTTGAGTAGCTTCCTCATGTCATGAGATTCCTGTTAATCTTTGGTTTACCTCCTCTTGTTTTAATCATGCTCACACTGAGTCCTTTGCATGTTTTCAATCTTTTCATTCACCATGTTTACCAGTAGTGTTTGTAGAGCTTTTTGGAAAATCTCTTCTGGATTATTTATTAACTGTTCTGTCACCACATTATCATGAGTGGGAGTTGAGATACCCAGACTTGTCATTCTTCTTGCGTTTCTCTGGCTTGTTCTACCTATTTGGTATGAAAGTAAATCCAATTTTGTGCTAGAACACTATTTTAAGGCAAGCATCAACCAGAGTCCTGTAGTTGCATAGTCAAAAAGCTGCAGATACAATCTAGTTCAACAGATACAATCTAGTCACCATCAAACAACTATGGGTAAATGAGCTAAGAACAGCAGAGACGGATTTGGCAAACTAGAAATTTATTAGCTTTAGGGAAAAATATGAGGAAAAATAGGATTAGAGGGATGTGGAGAGGTAAAAAGAGAGTGAATTTAACCAAATCATAATCTCAGAGAGGGAAATAGATTGGACAGATCATAGGAGAGAGATTTTAAAAAAGGGAGAAAAAATGGGAAAACAAAAATTTAAATTTAAAAAGTGAAACACTTAAAATTATTTAAGTTTAAAGAAATGATATTTGAGAAGAAAATGATAGAATGAAAGGAAGGGAGGGATAGAAAGGAAACATGAAAAACTAAAAAATAAAATGCTTAAAATTGGTTACTGAAAAGTATATAGGTTAAAGAGATAATACTGCTGCTAAAGTAGTTAAGCCTAAGAGGTTGTAAAATGAGCAATAAATTCCTGGATTAAGTATGTATACAATGTGGAATAAGGTCTAATAATTGATGACAGGTAAATATCTGGGGGTGAGCCGAAAAGCAATTAAGTCACAGAAAAAATAAAGAAAGAGAGTTAAAAAAATGAAAAGAATCATAAAAAGGACCAAAAGGTTAAAAGAGATATTAAGAAAGAACAAACACACACCCAAAATAAAAATTATGAGAAAAAAAATTAATAGAAAAAATTATAAAAATTAAAATTAAAAAATAGGTAGAAAAAAGAATTCTTTTATTTTTTTTTGGGGGGGGGAGAGGGTGAAATGGGAAGATCCTGCATCTCCACTGTGTTCATAACCAGTCCTTGGTGGAGTTTCTGGTCTGCTTGTGGTGTTCGATTTTCCTGTGGCTTGATTGGTTTCATAAGTCAGTTTGTTTGAGCAGGCATAAAAATGCTCTGCTTTACCCAGGATTTTGTGATCCTCTTCCCAGGCTAGTTCAGAGGGAAGGAGATCTACTTTGAGTATCACAAAAGAGGGAGATGGCTGTTTCCTCTAGTTTGGAGATGCTGTGATGAGGCTAGGTTCTGGGTAGGGTTGAGGCCTTTCAGCAAACAGTTGCTTTTCCCTGAGGGGCTAGCTCGTGAGACACTCACAGAGCGCAGCCTGGAGCCATTCTCAGGGTTTATGTTTACTGAGTTTCAATTGTTTGTCTAGGCTGCTGTTGGGAGGGACAGCCTTTGGCTCTGCTTACCCAGTGAAGAAAGTCACTCTTCTGGGGGCAGAGCTGCCTCTGCTTGGGCAGCATGACTTTCCCTTAGGTGGAGCTGAGTCTGGCAGGTCAGGTCAGTGTCCTGGGACATGCTAATGGCTCCAATTGTTTCCTTCTAAGGCCTGTGTTGAAGCTAGATTCTCAGCCAGGCCTTTGCCAGTATCAAAGATGGAGATCTCCGGTGGTGGGGGAGGGGTGGCATTCCCTCCTCTGTTCTCTGAGGAGTGAGGATGTCAGGGTTCTACTCAAGCCAGAGCCTTGGTTCCTGGGCGGTCTCTGGTCTGTGATCTGCAGGATGAAGATATCTGTTCCTTGTCACTTCTTACTGGTGGTGAATAGAATCTGCTCACCCACCACATCTGGAGCCTTTGTCCCAAAATCTCTCTGTTGGTATGTTAGCTACTGCCGCTGCCACCGCTGCCAACGCTGCAGCCGCAGCCACAGATACAAGCAAGTGCGCAGATATGTCTCCTGGCCTGGATTTTCCCACTCTGGCCAAACTCTGTAGTGTAATGGCACACTTGGTGTGATTCTCTAGCCAAGGACTGTCACTGGAACACTAAAACTGCTTTCTATGTGAGAGCTTGTTTAGCCTCTAGCTTCCCCTCTGCCATCTTGCTCTGAATCCTCAGCATATTGTCTTTTAAAGGAGGAGTCAGGAAAACATGGCAGATTAGAAGCACCAACACTTTTTTGGGGGGTGGGGGAAATCGGTCGTGGGTTTCAAACTCTGGGCTTTGGCGCAGTCCCTGTGCTCTTCAGCTCAAGGCGAGGGCTCTACCACTTGAACCACATAGCCAAATGTGGTTTTCTAGTGGTTTATT